GGTACTACTCATATCAACAGAGGTGCATCTTCTTTTAAGGAAGCTCAACACCCAAGAACTCCAGAGTTAAGCGTGCTTGCACGGGAGTAGTCTTGGGATGGGTGACCCCCTGGGAAGTTTCTCAGGGCGCGCATGAGCGCGGACAAAGTGCGCGGTAAAGGCTCGTGGTGGTTTGTGAGGACAGAACTAGAGGTCTGGAGGGTGTGTTGGAGTAAATACCTCGGGTCCTGCGGGGCCGGAGTGTTATAGAAACCGCGCCCCCCTCAGTTTAGAATTTCATAAATCGGACCTTAAAACATCTCGCACGGTTGGACCGTGCGGGTACCGCACACCGTGCAGTTAATTAAAACTGGAATTTCGCTGCAGGACCACCCGCACGGCGTGCGAGTTAACTTTGTTGTTGTTTTGGTTTGTTTTGCCTTGTTTTGTGTGTGTATAACCTGATCATGTGCGCATGTGATGATTTGCTGATGGATTTGCGGGTTCGATAGAGTTCGGGACCGACCAAAGACTTAGGGGAGTTTCTACCTCCTTACTCATTATTTTTCCGTTGTCTTGAGCTAGTGAACACGCGTGACCCTTTACTCTTTACCCCGTGTGCATAGTGCATTTTGGTTATCGAGGTCACATTTTCATGGTTTCTTAATGTTGTTTCTGTTTTTTGTTGGTTTCTTCCCATTACTCTTTTGTTTTTTTAATCAAACACGAAAAAATAATTTGGTTTCTATATTCTATCCAGACTGCATTGTCAGAAAGACAAATCCAAACCAAATATGTTTGAGTCATATTTTCCTTTGACACTTTCCGTGCACATAAGCAATTTACCGTTCTAAACAATTGTTTGTCGAAAAGGAAATATTAGAATATCCTGAAAAATCCTCAATGTTACATCACTTTTAAGGTTTTTGTTCTAGTAAATATATGAGTCCACCTTATTTAAAAAAAATCTGGATAAGTGTTTCTCGTTCTTTCAACCATATTCTTTGTCTATGAAGAAGAAGTATTATTTGTCTTTCTGTTTACCTAATTTTTTTGTTTCAGAGTTCTTACAAAACTTTGTTTCAAAAGCAATGTGATTGCTTGTATGTATACAAAGCACACCAAGTTAAAAGTATAGTGTGGTCTTTATGGTCATATATATTGATGACATTTTGATCATAAGAAATGATATCCCCTCATTAAATTTCGTGAAAGAATTGTTGTCCAAAATTTTCATGATGAAAAATATAGGTAAAACCTGTTAGATCCTTAACATTAAGATCTACAGAGACAGAGTTAATAGGATGTTGGATCTTTCACAATCCACGTATATTAACGAAATACTACAACGATTTTAGAATGGTAGAATCCAGGAAAGGATTCCTACCAATGGGTCATGGGATATCATTATCAAAGAAGGATAGTCCTTTAACTAATGATGAAATTAAAAGCATGAAAGGGAGTCCATGTGTTTCTGCTATTGGGTCAATCATGTATGCTATGTTTCTGCTGTTGGTCGATATGAAAATAATCTAGGAGAATAATATTAGAGTGATTTTAAAATAATTCTTAAGTGTCTTAGAGGAACAAAAAAAACATAGTTTTTGGTTTGTGGTGGACATAAAGAATTGGTAGCATCTGGTTACTCTCTAGCTAGCTCTAAGACTGATAAGCATGACTATAAGTCACAATCAGAATATGTTTTCAATCGCAATGGAGCATCAGTAGACTGAAAGAATTCCAAGAGAGACACTACATCATATTCGACAGCTGAAGCCGCGTAGTCGAGTACATTAATGCATCAAAAGTAGGTAAGGTGACCATTTGGATATGTGAGTTCTTCAAAGATTTAATTAGGGGGTTGTTATGAATGACATTCGATATATAACTTTTTATTGTGACAATATTAGTTGAATTAGCAAAGGAACCATGATGTGACAAGAGGAAAGGACATGTGCCAAGGCACTATCATGTCATTCGAGAGCAGATAGAAAGAGGAGAAGTTTCAACTTTCAATAGAATGTGTTCCCATTGAGGATAATTTGGCTGATCCTTTCACCAAACCTATGATCTGTGAGGATCATACTAGACATTCTTAGAATCTAGGTTTTAGAGGCATTGGTGATTGACACTAGTCTAAGTGGGAGATTTTTAATATGCATGTCCTAGCGACAAATCACTTTTTACAGACATTTGTACTTGATAATCTTTAATTTTTATATTTAATATATATGGTATTACACCTTTATAAATGATCTATTTCGATTGTCATTTTTTTTTTCATATTTGTCTTCCATTGGAATTATATTATTACTAAGTAAGTGACAGCTTATGGGACATAACATAAGGTCCTAAACAACCCTAATGAATGATCTTTGAGAATGGTATATTAGTAAGATTGGTATGTGGACTGCATCATACTTTTAGAAACTGTAGTTGATCCCACGACTATGAATTCTAGAAAGTCATGATAGTCATATTTTGGATAATATTGGTATACGTAACCAACAAACCATTTGGTATGTCATATTCATTTCTTTATGAAATTATTGGTGTCTAGAGTAGTATAATAGTCCCGCGACTTGAGATCAATAGTACTTCATGTATGGAGTAATACACTTTGACCATGAACAATGCTTGGACTCCAATTGGGGTAGACATGACATGTTTTGAGTGCACCACGAAGCACATGAAGTAGTAGTTGAGCCAATATTGAATTCATTCCTTACAATGCAAAGATATATTCGCTTTGAATGAGTGACAATGACTAAGTTATTAGAATAGACATTATATCAAGTTCTAGACTTAGTTGAATGCTCTTGAATTAAAGGACCATATCACTATGACTTCTGTATTACAGACAGTTTGTATAGTGCCAGCAAACCTGCTTATATTTTTAAGATTGTCTCATAAACTATTTAGGGTTTTTGCTAAGACCTTAGTTTGATTTATACTTAATAGGGAAAATGGAAACTAATAATCCAACCTTTTAGCGGTCTTCTTACAATAGTCCCACCTTTTCGTTATTCATGAATAATCCAACCTTTGCACCTCATCTTCATTCACTGGTCCCTGACCGGTTGATGACCTGCTATTCCAAGTTATTTTCTTATCTTTGCAAACCATTATACCATAAATCTCACCTTTCACAAAGATAATATTTTGCAAAGATAAGAAAATAACTTGGAAAAGCAGGTCATTAACCGATCAGGGACCAGCGAATGAAGATGGGGTGCAAAGGTTGGATTATTCTTGAATAACGAAAAGGTGGGACTATATATTGTAAGAAGACTGCTAAAAGGTTGGATTATTAGTTTCTCTTTTCCCTACTTAATATATAAAGTTCTATGAGTCACACAACAAGTGATTATACCTTCTAAATGAATTGTCTGAATGATTTAAATATTAATTGCATTAAGGTAATATTTAGTTCGTAATATTGAAATTAAATTAAATTTTAACTATAACTATATCTAGTTCATGATTTTGAAGGAGAGATCTATTTGACCTAATTAATTCAGTAAGATAAATTTGATTTGTTATATTTAATTACGATGTATTTATTATTAAATAAAGTTGATATTTTTTTGTAATTTGGAATTAAAAAGAAAATCAAAAATTAAATAATAATAATAACAATAGAGAAGTAGGGTGGTGCGAGAAGAAATCCCTAACTTCTCTATTGTTATTATTTTATTTTATTTACTTTACTTAATTATTACTCCGTAATAAGTAATTGGACCGAGTAGGGCCATAACTCATTATGAGAAAGTCTCAACTAGACTTCAGATAAACGAGGAAGTATAGACTAGTACTTGCTTAAAATATTGGTTGTCATACATTCAAACTATGGATATCTCAAATTTGGTAAGTGGCGTCGAAAAGCTTAACAATTCCAACTACAACACTTGGAGTGTTCATATGCAATTTTATTTGCTTGGATAAGGTTTGTGCAGTAATGACAACACATCGCCACCCACCAACGCGGAGGAATTAAGAAAATGGAAGATAAAAGCGGAGAAGACCATGTATATTTTATTCGTAACAATTGAAGAAGAGTTGTTGCAGCACGTCAATTCAAAGATGCAAAAACTCCGAAGGAGTCATGGGATACTTTGGCGGCACTTTTTGCAAGGACGAATGATGCGAAGCTTCAACGGTTAGAAAACGATCTTCTCTTGGTCTCGCAACAAGATATGTCAGTGAGTTAATATTTTAATAAAGTCAAAACAATTTGTGACGAAATATTAAAGTTAGATCCAGAAAATGCCATCACCGATACAAGAAAAGGAAGAATCATAATCCACGGGTTAATGCCAGAATATAATGGTATTATTACTGCTACCCATGGATGGGCAAAAGAGCCAACTCTAACGTCGTTAGAGTGCCTATTAGGCAATCAAGAGGATTTAGATTAACAAATATCTAATGTCTCAATCAAGGAGGATGAAACCGCCTTATATAGGAATAAAAGGAGTTTCAGACGAGATAGAAGAAGCGCAAGACCAACAACTATAAATCCAAATAATGAAGATTGACAAAAGCGGCCGCAAGGAAGCTCTCATCGAGGGGGAGCTAATCAAGCCCGTCATGATAAATATAAGGAAGAGAAGAAGTACCAACATAGCAACAACCAGTGCTACAATTGTGGAAAACAAAGGACATTTTGCTAGAGATTGCAGACTTCAAAGAGTTGAAGCAAATGAAGCAACATCAACTATAAAGGAGAGCAATAGTGAAGAAGAATGAGATTTTCAAGTTGCCTATGCAGTGGATAATATTCAAGAATTTGCAGCTTCTTGCATCATTGAAGAGGAGGAGGAGAAGGAAGAAGAAGAAGAACAAGAAGAAGAACAAGAAGAAGAAGAAGAAGAGGAGGAGGAGGAGGAGGAGGAAGAAGAATGTCACGCCCCGGACCTACCTGACACGTCAACAACCCGCCGTACAGTACGAATAGTCAACCGCAGTCCAACTCATCCATACTATACTAGGCGTCTTGAATACCATTCACACATAGTACATCCATAAACAATCATAACGTAAAATATTTAATTAAGCAGCGGAAACATAATTACAAATATTCAAGCCACACGTGGCAACCACGGGCGGCTAGCCCCCAAATAAATATTCGAAATAATGTCCATGAGCATTATTTAAATTGTTTTCAAAACAGAAACAGGAGAAGTACGAACCCCGCCTTCCTCCTTGAATTCCCCGAAGCAACGAGCGGTAGTAGCAAGCTCTACTCCCTACCTGAAACTGTGAGGTGGCCTCCCCCGTGAAGGGGAGGTCAGTACTTGGAAGCATTTGACAAGTACAATGACAACTATACTAAGTATAATCAAAGTTTCAATTTCCAAGACCCTCAATCCAAGATGTTATTCATTTGTACTTAACTCCTGTTCCTTCATGCTAGAGCTCGGCTCATAGTCATGCTAAATTGTGCTAGAGCTCGGCTCATAGTCACACTACATTTGCTAGAGCTCGGCTCATAGTCATACTAAATTGTGCTAGAGCTCGGCTCATAGTCACCCTACGTTTGCTAGAGCTCGGCTCATAGTCATACTAATTTGTGCTAGAGCTCGGCTCATAGTCACCCTACGTTTGCTAGAGCTCGGCTCATAGTCATGCTACCACGTGCTAGAGCTCGGCTCATAGTCACGTCAACTAATCCCTAAACCACTTCTTAGTCTAGGTTCCATCCATTTTGAGTAACCCTTAAGGCCTACTCCAAATGTAACTTAAGTTCATAATAATTTGAATATCTCAATTAAATTCCACATTCAAGTATAACTTGGCTCTAATATCAAAATATCACTTTTATCCTTCCATGACTTCCTTACATGAGGTAAAAGTATATTTATCACAATTTAGTTTATAGTTTACACAACTATTATACCATTGTATTCATAACACATAATCATACACAATTTATTCATAAATTTGTATATTATGCATTTTTGCTTATAAACAATAAAAATCTCATTTAGGCATTTTATTATTATAAATACATCATGTCAAACACATATAATTCATTTAGGTAATCTCATGAAATTAACCCAATAATTATAAGCAATATAGTCGGTCATCCTCACCTTAAGTGAGCTTAAGCGTGTTCTACGCTCCGCGGTTGAACTTTGACTAATTCCGGTGAACTTTGACCAACTCCGGCCAACTTTGACCAACTCCGGCGAAACTCCGGCGAAGCTCCAAAGTACTTTAATCAAGTTCCTAACAAGGTTTAACATCATAAAACCTTAATCAATACAAATAACCTCTAAAAGGTTATTTTCCGGTGAACTTGTCGGTTTGGCTCCTAGGTCCGTTTTTGGACTTAGAACCCCCTTCCAACCCATCATTCTACACTTAACTCATGTGGAACAATCCTCAATGTTCTTCACATGATATATAGCTCATATTGTAGAAGAAAAATAAAGGAAAAGTTAATATAAGATTATTACCTTAATCTTTCTCACTTTTCCTAGCTTTTTTCTTCTTTTAAACTTTCCCCTTGGACTTCTATTGCTTGAGCTCTCTTCAAGGATGGGAAAAGGGAGATGGAGATTTTCTTTTCTTTCTGGGGTTGGTGCTGGCCGAGAGGAATGAGGGAGAGAGGGGTGAGGGGATGGTCTTTTGTCTCAAAGGTCAAATGGGGTGGATGTGGTCCCCTTTTTTTTTGTTTGATGCTTCTTCTTTCACTTCACACACATCACCCATGCCTCTTCCACCATCCAGCCGGCCAAGTCATGAAAAAATATGGCTAATTTCGTGGGTTGGCCCCCACCCATGTGGGAGGTCAACCCCTTTTGTCCAGAAGTGTACACTTTGTCCCGAAAGTTGTATTTTTCGGACCATTTAAAATATATTTTATTTTATCGGGTCAAATAAAATATATTATGTGCTCTCCATCATTAAGACTCTTATGATGAATATTCATACCCCAACTTTAATTTATAAGTCCCCGAAATTCAATTTCGGGCTTTTATCGGTTAAATTGCCAATACCGGTATTTAGGCCTCTTTGACCAATCGGTCAACTCCGGACCTTTCCATGGCTCAAATGAGTTATCCTCCACCATATAAATATTATCTAGACCGAGATGGATAGTTTATGTAGTCCCGGGAATATTGGGCGGCCCCCGCTCCCGGTGCGGGCCCCACGTGCGAATTTACTATTCACGCAAAATAATTAATAAAAATCCATAACATTGTAAACTCAATAACCATTCCACAAGGTTACATACAATATTATTCACTTAAAAGTAAATACCTTTGGGGACGGTGTTACAAAGAAGAAGAGGAGGAGGAGGAGGAAGAAGCTCTTGTCACGGTGAGTGATAGATTCATGAATTATGAAAATGATTGGATTGTAGATTCTTGATGCTCCAATCACATGACGTGTGACATGAGCAAATTAGAAAACACCAATAAGTATGAAGGACGACTAGTTGTAGTCACTGCAAACAACACAAAACTACCCATCACTCAAGTTGGCTAAACAAAGATTACTCCCCGATTCAATGTTGAGCAAGTGGAGCTCCAAGATGTGATGCATGTGCTAATAAGAAGAAGAATATACTTTCGGTGTCACAACTCACAAAATCTGGAAAGTATGTGGTTTTTTGGCCCAGATTATGTTGAAGTATATCGGCATCTACAAGAAAATGAGCAACCGATCATGGAGGGGCGAAGAGTTGAGTCTATCTAGGTGATTTCTGCACAAACATCATATGTAGATAAGACACGGAAAAATGAGACACCATACTTGTGGCACGCATGTGTTGGGCATGTGAGTTACAAGAAATTAAAGGTGATGATGAAGAAGGAAATGCTAAAGGGTCTCCCCAAACTAGAAATCCATGATAATATGGTTTGTGATGGGTGTCAATATAGAAAAGCTCATCAGCTTCCATACGAGGAGTCAAAGTTTAGAGCCAAAGCGCCGCTAGAGCTAATACACTCGGACGTATTCGGGAAGGTAAAACAATCTTCAGTTTGCGGCTTCAGGTACATGATTACATTCATCGATGATTTTTTAAGATTGGTCTGGGTTGATTTTATGAAAGAAAAATAAGAAGCTTTAAACAAGTTCAAGGTATTCAAAGAAAATGTTGAAGCAGAATCAGGCCACAATATCAGGTTCCTGCGCACACATAACCAGGGAGAGTACACTTCTGAAGAATTTTACAAAATTTTAAAATAATGTAAAATAAGAAGACTATTCTCATGTCCAAGTACACCTCAACAAAACGGAGTTGCAGAGAGAAAGAATAAACACTTGGAGGACTGTAAGAAGTATGCTACACTCAAAGAATGTACCCCCATGTTTTTGGGCCGAGTGTGTGAAAACAATAACCCATGTGATCAACAGGCTGCCGCAAGCAAAGCTTGTATTCGTGTCACCATTCGAGAAATTACAAAATCTGAAGCCCAAGGTATGTCATTTCAGGGTGTTTGGTTATCTATGTTACGTATTTGTTCCTGATCACCTACGTAGCGAGTTTGATAAGAAGGCAATTTATTGCATATTCGTGTGCTATGATGATCAAAGGAAAGGATGGAAGTTTCGTGATCCCACAACTGGAAAATGCTACACATCAAGAAATGTGGTATTTGATGAAACATCATCATGGTGGTCATCTCAAGAAATTGTTCTTCCAGATTCACAAGAAATTAAAGAGATCTTAAAATTAAAGAACGAGAAGAAGAAAAAGTTGACACAAATGTGGAAGTATCAAATGAAGAACCACCTAAGATTTATAAAGATCCATGGCAAACATGAAGTCATGATAAGATTACTGAAGAACCAATGCCAAGTCAATATGAGGAATTTGAAGAGCCAAATGAGTCTCTCTGAAGGTCAACAAGGAGAAGGAGGCCAAACCCAAAGTATGTAAATGCGACAATAATGGAAGATAATGGGCCAAAAGAACCAGTTACTTTCAAAGATGCCTCACAAAGTCCCGAATAGAAAAAGGCAATGGAAGAGGAGGTTAAGGCTCTTAGAGAGAACGAGCATTGGGAATTGGTTCCTAAACCCAAAGAGGTACGTCCAATAACTTGTAAATGGGTTTATAAGTTGAAAACTCAGCCAGGTGGATCAATTGAAAGATATAAAACACGTTTAGTCGCTTGAGGTTTCTCTCAAAAGTATGGCCTTGATTATGATGAGACGTTCAGCCTAGTAGCGAAGATCTCTACTGTACGAGTCCTACTAGCACTAGCAACAAGACAATCTTGGAAGCTTTGGCAAATGGACGTCAATAATTCTTTCTTACATTGGGAGCAAGATCAAAGCATTTACATTGAGCAACCCGAGGGGTTTGAAACCAAATCACATCCAGAGCTTGTGTGCAAACTCAAGACAACATTATACGGATTGAAACATGCACCACGAGCGTCGTACGAGCATATAGTTGAATTCTTGGTACAAAGTGGTTACTCAATTGCTCCTTCTGATTCAAGCTTGTTTGTGACATATACCGGAGGAAAAAAATCGGTCATATTGATATATGTGGATGTTCTAATCATCACCGGGAATCATGAAAAGGAGATCAATGAAATAAGAGGTAATTTATCAGTGAGGTTCCAAATGAGAGAGCTTGGAGAACTACAACACTTCTTGGGCCTTGAGGTATTACGAACTAAAGAAGGAATATTTTTGTGCCGACACAATTATGCAAAAGACATACTTGAAAAGTTTGGGATGCTTGATTGCAAACCGATATCAACTCCTATAGAGCCAAATGTGAAGATGTGCGTAATTGAAGGTCGAGAATTGGAGGACTCTACCATGTACAGACAACTTGTTGGAAGTCTTATCTATTTAACAATCACAATGCTAAATATCATGTTCGCAGTAGGAGTATTGAGTCGGTTCATGGAGAAGCCAAGGAAGCCTCACTTAGATGCAATACAGCGCATAATGAGGTAAGTAAAAGCAACTTTGGATTTTAGCATATTTTATAAAAGAAATGCATCGTTTGAAGTGGTAGGCCACTAATGCTGATTATGCTGGAGATCGTGATACACGTCGCTCTACCACTGGTTACACATTTAGTCTTGGAACGGGCACCATGTCATGGTGTAGCAAAAGACAACAAACAGTGTCACTATCAACGACAGAAGCAGAATATAGAGCAGCAACAATGGCAACTCAAGAGAGTGCATGGTTGATGCAACTTCTAGAAGATCTTCATCAACCAACTGATGAGCCAATAACATTACATTGTGATAACCAATCAGCAATACGACTTGCAGAGAATCCAATATTTCATGCAAGGACAAAACATGTGGAGGTTCATTATCATTTCATACGAGAAAAAGTCCGTAAAGGAGATATTGAGATGAAATACACCAGGACAGAAAATCAAATTTCTGATTAGTTCACTAAAGGACTAAACAATACGCAGTTCGAGAGCTTGAGGGATCAACTTGGTATGGTTGCAAGATCTACAATAGGATAGAACGGTCATTGAGGGGAGTGTTGAAAGGTCAATGACTCTCTAGAATCTTCTATACTCTTCTTTATTAAGTACTCTAAGATGTGTAGAATTCTCTAGATAGAGTATTAAATAGGGAAATTGCCCTAAATAGGATTAAATGAGGTTTTGAATTCCAAAATATGACTATTGTGTTTTTTTTTCGAAATATGAGTTGTTACTGCCATGTATGAAAAAGAGTTTTTTACAAATATATTATCAATAGTATGTAAGTTTACAAAAATGTAACTCAGTGCTCACTAACTACAAATACGTATGGTAGTTGTTTTTTTTTTTAGTAATGAAGGCAGTTAGTGCACTCACTTTAAATGGTGGTCATATTTTTGTTAGTAAGGTTTAAAGTAGTAATATTTGTGTAATTTTTTCTATGAAAAATATTGTCATTAACTATAATAAATATTGTCATTAACTATGAAAAATCCTGGCAGTCACGCCTACAGGATGGCAGTAAATACTGTCATGTTAGTCCTATTTCGGGAATAAAAATATAGTAGTCATATTTTGGACTATCTAATTTGGGAAATCTCCCTATTAAATAAGAGTTAGCTAGAAACACTCTAGAATGTAATTAATATGAGAATACTCTAGAAAGTAATTAATGTGAGAGTTTATAGAAATACTCTCATCTCCTTAGCCTAGTATAAATAGAGGTGGATGGACACAACTCCATCACCACCAAGAGAGTGAAGCATCCTCAAGAGTGAGAGAAAGAGAGACTCCTCATTTTTGTACTCACTATTTTATATTAATAAAATTGTCTTTTATTCCTCCAAATCTCAACACGCTCTACTCGGACTCCTCCATCATATTGCCAATTTATGAGCTATTTGAAAGTATGTGGACTTAATTTCATTTTTTGCTATAGTACGGGTGCTCTTTAATAATTTTCCGTTACAGAGTTGATAAAAAATTATTCATTATAAGGACTTTTCTATAGAAAAATATACTTTTCAACACAAACAAACTGGAGAACATGTAGATAGTGTCAAATTTCCGGCTAAAAAGTGGGAAGCGTATATCATACAACCGGCTGTACGGCTGGCACCGTACAGCCGGTGGCAGTTTTGTAATTTTGATGAAGTTCATGGTTTCTCTTAAATGAGCATTGATGTAATTCGGATGAGCATCGAGTCTATTCTTATGAGTATTAGAAGCCTTATAATGAGCACCAGTGATCTCTAATTTGTGCT